GTGCAGATACCGGTTCCAAAGTTACCGTTACACAAACAAAACCCTCCGATTTCCCATCTTTCTTGAGACAGAAGCTCCAGTCAAGTGTCCAGGCTGTTGAGAAACACAATTTGCAAACCGATAGCACTGTTCACGAAACATGCCCCAAGTGCGGTCGTGAAGAGGTCAAGTATACCAACGTTCAATTGCGCGGTGCAGATGAAGGATCAACAGTCATCTACCTTTGCGATTGCGGCAACTCGTGAGAATCCCGAATCCATCTATTTTAACTAATTTAACATTTAACTTTTAGTTGGCATGAAAACAACTAGACGTGAAACTCGACAATGCGAGCGTACTCATAAATCATACAGAAACTCCTGCGGTCTCGGGAATCAAAGCATACTCAGCCTCTCCACCCTTCTCATACTCAGCGATATCCAGCGCAACAATGCAACTCTCTCGAACAACCTTTTCCTTGTCGTGAAGGAACTTTCTTAGGGTGGTCTCGACACCTTCCTCCTCGCCCAAGCTGCCAAGTGCCTCGGCCGCTTCATGTCGAACCATGCTAGCCTCGTTGACGTTACCCAATGCCTCAGTCAGGGCTGGGATAGAAGCGGGGTGTGAAAGCTGGCCAAATACAAAGGCGATCTCGTGTCGGAAGAGTGCGGACGAGTCGGACAATCCTTTAGCGAGAGCGAGAACGGCGGGGACAGCAGTGGGCAGGTCGGGAGGTGATGCCAGATCTCGGAGAGCAAACATGGCGCGGTAACGGAGGAATAGAGGTAGATTTGTATCCATGAGCTTGTGGCCAAGCTCCTCGACTTCGGCCTTCTGTTCGGATTCGGGCATTGGGGGCGCAGGGTCGATAGAGGCAAAATCACTAGACGACAAATGTTAATCATGGGCAACCCCAAGATGTCTTTGCACAAACCTAGGGCGCAACTTTTCCTTTCGTCGCTCTTCTGAGTTCTCCCACTCAATGCGCTCGATAGCGATCTCGCATGTCTCAATAATGCTTATGTCCTCCTCTTTGCGATCTCGGTACTCGCGGAGGATGTCCAGGTTGTCAGCCCAGCCTAAGGCTCCGAGGGCTTCGGCAGCTTCGTGGCGGCACATTGGATCCTCCTTCAAATCAGCCAGAACCTGTCGGAGAGGTTTGACAGCAGCGGGGTTGCCTGTCTGGCCTAGACAGTATGCGAGCTCATGCTTGAGCAGGGCTGAAGGCGAGGTGAATCCGGCAGCGATGGCTTCAATGGCCGCAATCCTTGTAGTGTTGTCATCCGAGGTGGTCGCAACGTGCTTCAGTGAGAAAAGAGCACGAAAACGGATGGGAAGAGGGGTATCCTCAGAACAGAGGGATTTCCTCAAGCTCAGAACCGTGGAATCGGCGGAGTTGGAAGTCTCTGGAATATCAGCAGAAGGAGACATTTTGGATTATTGGTTGGAAGCAGATCTTGATGTATCGTAGGGTGTTCTAGATCAGCTCAGAATAAAATCTTCGCGGGGTCCTGAGCTTATCTTATCTCAGACAAATACCTATGAAATAACCCCGCCACTGATCGGCTTTTTTTTGGGGGGTGCCTGTCTTAAGTTTTGGGCAGATCACCGACCGCCCTTAGCCGGTCCGATAACCGGCGCGCTCTCAGAGTGTTGCATGGTTGGAAATTTTTTAGTATTACTATAGTAATTACTAAGTTCTTTTACCATTTTTACTTTATTTATACTATAGTAGAATTAAAATTATTTACTCAAAGGGTATTTAATTAATTTAAGTAGTATTTAATTTAAGAAAATATATATAATATATATAAAAAGGGGTATATCTATTAAGTTTAGCTAGTAATTGAAATAGTAATACTAAAATTTTTCTAACCATGGAGTGTTGGGCATAATGGAAATGGCAGGAAACTTTGAAGACGTCTTTTATTGTTGATGCGGCGGTTCTCAGAATGACCTGCGATCAATTAGGCTTTTCATACCTATGTCACTACCTATCAGTAATAGTATTGAATGTCAGTACAGTTCCGTATCATTGAGCCATATCATTTGGGAATGAATAGTAGTGAAGTATTTGGTACTGTGGATGTTTAGGTTAGTACACTCTAACCCCTGTTTTTCCATTAGCAGGGTACCTACTTACAGGAATCTAACTTTATTCTCTTTAGTACTTATTTAATTTTCTATTTTATTTTAAAAATATAAACTAAATAGTATTTTTTACCTAAGTATTAATTATTATATATATTTTAGAGAAAAAATATAGCTATTTTAAAGACTCTAATAGAATACCTAGCCCCTGATATGGGGCTGTTACGCGCTAACAAAGATACAGGGGCTAAACTGTATACATAAGGTAGTACGAAGTTGTCGATACTTAGGTACTAGCAGTAGGTCGTTGGATAAGCATTTGTTCTATGTCTACCTTAAGTACTATATCTATCAGATATTTTCAGAAGCCTACGGTCCAAGCTTGCTTAACAATAGGAGACTTGTATAGGTGATCTCACCCTCCGCAGCTTCCCCCATAGAGCTAATGTTAATATGTTCGTAGATCTTTATCACTTTAATGTACCTATAGTATGTATCTTGACTCATTGGCATTTGTTATTCCGCGGCGTTACTTCACATCGCCGGACGCTTGCTAAGCAACCAATCAACATAAACGCTTAGCACTTACCCTAGGAACAACGATTATCTTAACCTCGTCAACATTCTCTGGACTCTCTCAAAGGTTGCTCTAGAAAGGATCCAGATCCCAATCAGGAAGAATTAGTCCTCGCTCCTTTCTTTCTTTCTTAATACTCTTTTCCTCGCTGTTCAGGACAACCCTAAAATTTTTAGCATTATTAAGCTTTCAGTTCACGTCGCCACCTCCGACTCACTTTCTATTGCTTCACCTCACTTCATAAAAAAGACAATGGCACCCTCCCTTGAGGCCCCAGAGGCTGTAGACGATGTCCTCGCCAATCCGATCAAACAGAAGCCACAACTAGTTGCCCCAGAACCTCAGAACTGTGTTGGTCCCGATTCAGAGCAAGCCGGTAAAGCGGACGCATGCGCCGGGTGTCCAAACCAGGCCATCTGCGCATCAGCACCCAAGGGACCAGACCCTGATATCCCTATCATCTCGGCGCGTCTGGAGAATGTCAAGCACAAAATCCTAGTACTAAGCGGAAAGGGCGGTGTCGGAAAGAGCACATTTACATCTCTATTGGCACACGCCTTCGCGACAAATCCAGACAGCACCGTGGGCATCATGGACACTGATATCTGTGGACCCAGTATCCCCAAGATGATGGGCGTGGAGGGCGAGACTGTGCATGTCAGTGGCACAGGTTGGTCCCCCATCTGGGTCATGGACAACCTCTCGGTCATGAGTATTCAGTTTCTACTGCCCAACCGGGACGACGCTGTCATTTGGCGGGGTCCCAAGAAGAACGGCCTGATCAAGCAATTTCTCAAGGATGTGGAATGGGGTGACCTTGACTTTTTGCTTGTCGACACACCACCAGGCACAAGCGATGAGCATCTCAGTGTAAACTCATTCCTGAAGGAGAGTGGGATCGATGGTGCTGTCATGGTCACTACACCACAGGAGGTATCACTTTTGGATGTAAGAAAAGAGATCGACTTCTGCCGCAAAGCCGGCATCAGGGTGTTAGGTCTTGCAGAGAACATGAGCGGCTTCGTCTGCCCCAAGTGTTCAACCGAAAGTCAGATCTTTAAAGCAAGCACAGGGGGAGGACGTGCGCTGGCTGAAGAGATGGGCATTCCCTTCTTGGGATCAGTGCCCTTGGACCCTAGAATCAGGATGGCATGTGATTACGGAGAGAGTTACTTCGACTCATTCCCAGATAGCCCCGCCTGCATTGCGTTTCAAGGAGTTGTCAAGAATGTTGCGATGCAGTTGGGATTGGACACCCAGGATGTGCTGCCGGATGAGTAGGCAGTTAACTCCAAGTTACGTTTTTATGTAGATCATGATATACGGATTCCGCTGCCACGCCATGTTGCCTTTCTTTTGAGCAATTCTCGATTACTCTGACTTGAGCTTGTCGGGAATCTCCTCCAAATCTTCCGCTGACTCGATATCAATAATTCGTCCGACTTCGGCCGTGTTGCGCATCAGCTCCTTGGCGCCAGCGTAGAGCATTCTGATCTCGGCGTTGCAGGTAACGGGGAGGTAGAAGATGAGTACATATGGTACAGATAAGCGCCCATCGCCCTATGCTCATATCAGCATCATGTCAAATGTCAAGCATTCCTAACAGTTGTTCGATCATACATACCATAGTGAGGGGGTAGCTCAAGAGGATGAATCGAGGCGCATGATCGGGGAGGTCATCGCCAATTTCTTCGAGGGAAGTATAAACGGTCTTGTCTTCGTCTTGTCGGATTTCGTAAGTGTTCTTATCGATCAGGTCTACAGGATGGACGGTTAGCAAGAAAAAGGAGACCTATGACTTTAAAGTCTTATCACAAAGAGACGTACATACATATAACAGCTTGGGGATCCTTGGCCCGAGAAGTAGTGAGTCTAAACTTGCGGAGGTGGTCCTTTGACTCTCCAGAGAAGGTGTACAGTCGCGATTCCGACGCCTAAACGCAGGATGTCAGCGGGCGAACCGGAGATGGAGAAGAGGACGCATGAGTGGATGTACCATTTTGAAGCTTGGCTCGACTTTGATTATAGGTAAAGCCCCCTTTGTAGCAGTTTCAAAGCTGTGTCTGATACCTCAACTCTGTTTAGCAGTTATCAGTCGAGTTAAGTTGGCGTAGCCCAATGCCCCGCCAAAGAGTAGGTACAGTAAGGTAGTAGGTTAGTACTAACGTAGCTGTTGACTTGACCCCACATTGTCCCGCCATAGGTTGTCTAGCGCAGCGAGTTAACGTCATCTACAGGCTGTTGAAATCGAGACAACATTGCATCAATAAAGGGAGAACTTGCATATTTACCCTGCTATCTGCCTTATCACCTGATTCTCAAGCTCTCTTATTGCATCTGCCTTTGACCATCCATGTTCTCACGCATCTCTCAGGTAACCCGGCATCTTTCAGCTCCCGTTGTTGGCAACACCAGACGATTCGCCCTAAGAACCATGGCTCCTATATCGGCAGACGAGCGCAACTCGCGCACCATTTCCACAGCCGCCTGTTTGATCATCGGTGACGAAGTCCTGGGCGGAAAGGTATAGTTCTTTGAATACATCTTACTGTCTGTGAAACAGAATGGGGGTAACTGACATCATGAGCGTAGACAGTTGATGTGAGTAATTGAAGTATGAGCCAGTCATTGTATTAATCGAGATAGACCAACTCTGCCTATTTTGCCAAATGGTGCTTTAACCTCGGAATTGTAGGTCTGACCATAGGAAGCTTAGAATGCGCGGATGCTAAGTAGATATAGAACCTCAAGCGCATCGAGGTGATAGAGGATGATGAAGGTGAAATTGTGGAGGCTGTCCAGAGAATGAGTGACCGTTATGACTTTGTTGTTACTAGGTAAGTCCTTCGGTGACGCTACGTGGAGGTTGAATAGCTAATATGAATCAGTGGTGGGATCGGGCCTACGTGAGGATTCACTACTCTCATTTTGACATAAGGTATACTGATATCTTAGGCACGACGATATTACCTACCAATCGATCGCCAAGGCCTTCAACCTGCCTCTCAAGCTACACCAAGAAACCTTTGACAAGATGAAGCTAATGTCAAAGGTTCATCCTAATCAACCCAAGTTTGATTGGGATGTCGACTCGCCAGCAAGAAGGGCAAAACTTCGCATGGCTGAGTTGCCAATTGATGAATCTCGGGACCTTAAGAAGCAAGCTCTTTTCCCTCACGATGATCTTTGGGTTCCTGTATCAGTCGTTAACGGAAATATACATATCCTGCCGGGTATCCCTAGACTTTGTAAGTCTTTTCCTGGGCGCCGATTACTATCTGCTGACCGGGAACAGTTCAGAGACTTCTCGATGGGCTGAAGCCTCACATCCTGCCACGTCTCAGTGATCCTGAAGGGAAGGGTACGCATAGAGTACTGTTCTCTACGCCTCTTCCCGAGAGTGGTGTTGCCGACTACCTCACAACATTGGCTGCCAAAGTTGGGCCCAGGGGTGTCAAGGTCGGAAGTTATCCTCGCTGGGGCAAGAAAAACAACACGGTCACACTTGTTGGACGGTTAGCAGGGAACATTACCCAACGCTAAGCGCTAAACATGCTGACACAGATATAGGGATTTGGAGTATCTTGAGAGTCTCGTTGATGAAGTACAAGCTGGCATCCAGGGTCTGCGAGTTGATGCTGAGAGTGACGGAGAAGAAGACCCGAAGCAGATTAAGAAGCAGGCGACCGAAGACGCGGACAAGGACACCGCGCAGCAAGTTGTTGAGAAACCTTGATATCTTGATAGCTGGGATCCTTGGATATTTGGAAGTCCATAAGGTATTGGTGGCGGGTTGTGGTTGCGCTGATCACAGTAGCATCCGTTGGAACTCTGTAAAGAGTTGCTATTGGCTAGATTGCATGTTTCGTTAATATCCTTGAATATATGTAGACAAGTGCTATAGAATGTTCAGAGTTGCAATCTGATACCGACGTACGGGCTTGAATTTTTCGGTGATTCAACGGTCAAAACCTGATCATATCGTCGAGCATGGCGCTCTTTATTCAGACGAGCTGCATAGGCAGCATCTTTGTACAGCATGTATTTCAGAGCGATCTAACGTAGATGAAATCTGGGACTTGGGCTTGTGCATCGATTTTGCTGCGCAGTTACCTGTATAGGTACTTGACAAGTTTTGAATCGCCTGTGGTTTCAGCACTTGCGGCCAACACATAAACCATATGTCGTGCATCCTGGTACAAGGCAAAGGTGTTAAATCGTTGTTGTATCATACGGATACTGACTTTAGGGTTGGCAACCGAGATAAGACAATGGAGCAGAGTTGAGTCTCATCTCCGACGCCCTGAGGGGCTGTAACGTAGTATCGGCGTTGAACAAGTTGACTTGCCAAAGTCATATTATCATACGATTTTAAGTGACAAGAGAGGTCAGTGATCTGTTGTGTTGCAGATCAACACATGAACATTACATCGTTGAGACTCAATGGCGCAGAAGGCTAGAGAGAGACACTCGTGCTTCGTGCTTCATGTGATGGTACGCTGTATTCGGAAGCTGACTCGAGGCTCTTGCCTATGAGGAAGCTGGGGTGTGACGAAGACCAGGGGGTATGAACAACGAGGATGGTGGAGGTGGAGTCGATAGATTGTCTTAGGCACATCGTAGCAGCGATAGCAAGGCTCGTGACATGATCGGCGCCGAGATCAGAGGTTAGACCTTGAACAAACCCACGACACCTGAGGGAGATTGAAATATGTCGTGATGTGCGCTTGGCATAGAACTAAGCCAGAGTGTAATCTACCGAAAAGGGGCTATTACTAGGACGAGTCCTAGAGACATATCGAAGTGGATCACAACCTGGATCCGGTGGAGACGGGCGCAAACGCAAATACAAAAGACGTCATTTCGTTCTAGAAGCTGACTATGGAAGTTGTTGGAGATCATTCACATTCAACTTGATTGCATTGATGGTCCGTGTGGTGAAAGGGTCAAGAAGCTGAACTTCAAGTGACACAGGCGAAGTTGTTTGTAATCAAGGACTGATATCATGCCAGTATACTTGCTCACAAAGGATTGAGGGTGGATAGACTCGTGCCGTCGTCTGATGAGTTTTTGAAGATGTTAATAAACCTCCTTGTAACGTCAAGCTCTCCTTGAACTACAGAATCACGTGCCTGCTGCAGCTCTGACAGAAGCCCCACACGCTAACCCCACAAGTCCCATCGAGCCGCAATATCACAGCTACTTCTTTCTATCGTCAAGGATAGGTAGGTACTTACAAAGACATATTCTTTGCCCTTCAAAATCCTATAAGTTCTTCTGCTCGTAGAAAAGACTGGAATTTATGTGAGCTACTCGGAGCATCTTTCCAAACGCTGCCAGTTCTGAGAACAGTGGCGTACAACAGTCGCTCGCTTTACGAAGAGAGTAGACGTATTTACCCGTGAGCGTTCAGTGCCAATTGGTGCTTGCAATATAAACACCAGGTATGATAAGGCCTAGCGAGATAGTTTGTCCTTTCTATTAGGTTTCCTCGGGCAGCTACTAGGAATATTCTAGGAGACTATGGTTGAACACCGGGAGGCGATACGAGACGTGGCTAGGGCCATCACTCAATTCCGATCATACTCTGAGGGACGATTTTTCACGTTTCTTTCTCAAGCACGTTGTTGCAACTCCTAGTTCCTCTAGGGTAAAGAACACTATACAATGACATATTGTGGCCCTAGGGAAGAGCCGTAGCGGACCCTACAGGCCTAATCGGAATCGGTTGCCTGGCATGCTCGCTGTTGAAACTCGCAAACCATACTAGCCAATTAACCGACGTGTGGGCTTCAGACTGACACTTGACAGTTCGTCAAAGTTTCGGTAAAGGGCTTGTTTGAGAGCTTTGTTCGTCTAACCATTATCCTAGCCCGTTTACTTGACCGAAGCCCTATCCTAACGTGCGAGCTTGGCTTTCAGCTCCTGACCCATTGAGTAGGTTTCTGGCAGAGCATAGTTTTCTTTGTATCATGTGTTATCAGTCGAGTCTGTGATTGGTTTTCTAGATTCATCACGTTTTCCGACGAATTACTGAAACTTCCATCTGAGGTTGGCAACCAACCCCCACCCAGACTCAAGTGACCAGACCCAAACATACAGAATTTACTCACATAGTAGTAATTGCTTCAGGCCTCATGCTTTGTCTTGACCTGTTCCCGTCACATCTTATTCGACGTAGACCCCAGTCATCGTAGGCTATCAGCGAAAATTGCTTAGCTCGGGATGATGATCTTCGAAGTCATCAGAGTGCTCGGCTTGATAAACTCAACTGAAGCTATCGCTGCGTCAAATCTGCATAGTCCTTCGTATCACTGAACAAAACCCTTATGTAACGACTTCAGAGGGGCAGTTATCTAGGATCTGTATCATAGTGATCAGATTGGGTTATCGACCTAGCCACGCCACGCATCGATCAACCCCCACCCGGCATTGACCTGTTAACACACCGTCACATCTTCAACAGCCTCAAACGCGCCAACGCTATTAGTACAACGTGCTGAAAAGGTGTTGTGGTTCATCTGGCGAGAGCGGCTGGTCATTGTAACGTTGAATGGCTGTACATTGGAGGATGAAAAGAACAAAAACCATGAGCGTGGTGAAACGCCTGTCCTGCAGGCACTAAGACATTTCCACGATTTAGGTGCAGGCTAGGGAGTAAAACTGTGAATAGGGTCAACTCATGGTTTGGTTGTTGAATCCAGCCCAAACGCTGCAGGATTCAATACATGTCTTGACTTTTTTTGATTGTTTTATAAATGACGACGCATCTTTAACCTGAGACCAAATATATGAGTTGTCATGATAGATAGTGAACGTACTGCGTATAGTGTAAGGTTCCACCACATAAAACATCGTACATCGCATCACAGTAGATTTTAGCGCAAGACAATGAAGTCGAGCACCACTCCTACCGCCCTGCACGTTAGAAACCATGACCCTGGGCATGGACTATGAGCTAACCGACTTGAGATTAAGACCATCGGAGCTTGTTAACTTGTCACCCCATTCATTCCCCAGGTCCAGGGGCTCACCGATGGGACGGGGGACCTGGAAAGAGAGAGAGAGAGAGAGAGAGAGAGAGAGCAAGGGGTGAGGAACGTTGATCTGCATTGGATCGAGACACGAGAGAATGATTATGTAGTATGGATAATGGACTCACTCATGCCAATGATGACATTGGCACGTTGATGTGAAAATGGTTTTCTCGGTTGAATCATGACAAGGCACGGTTTAAATGTTCTTTGAAGGTGCTAGCGCCTGGGCCATGGGATTGGATGTAATTGGTTACGATGAAGTTACCAGTGGTGACAGCGACCGTCTAGACGACCAATATGAGTGATGATAGGATATCTGGGCGCGAAATGGTAAAAGTGATTAGCTACAAGTTCTCAACTACCTATGACCGTGCAATAAGAACGTAGACTCTGCTGTAAATGACCGAACGAAAGATGCTGGTGAAAACAGGACTAGCCATCAGTCAATGTGCGAGAACGGTGCCCTGGGCGTATTGGATAAGTACGGGGCCTATCCTAAGAAGCTATATTTCATATCATGATATATGGTTCGAACGCAAGTTTCCCTTATTAACGAAAGCCAAAGGATCACCTCGCTTGTTCCTGGACTTGATGAACAAAGGCATATTAGATGTACACAGCCTACAGAGTAGAGATAAGAAACATACAAACAACAGCCACAAGAACAAACAGTAAAGTTAAAATGAGCAATTTGAATCGAAAGGGACCATGCAGGACCATGTGACATGTCTGATGCAACGGGAATAACATCTTTTTCCAGTGAATTGATTGAAGTAGCAGGTATGTTTCGTCTGATCTGGTTTATAAGTTGTGAAATAATGTCTAGGTTACTTTAAGGAACAGCAAACAAAAGATGGAGAAGACACCAGTCGCAATTATCAAACGGTACATAATGTGTATGGATGGTCGGCCTCATTTACATGGCTCAACCGAAAAGGCCGGGGTCACGGCGCCGGCGTACCTCGGGGGGGGGGTTCCGCCGGCATTCTCCTGCCTTAGCGAGTAAGACGATGGGGTTAGAAGAACGGGCTAATTTGTTCTATAACTCGTAGCTTAAAGAGAAGCGCGGAATAACTTTTAGACTTGACATATCACAACCAAGGATGAGGCGTGCCCTGACAGCCTGGGTTGGTGGCCGTTAAGGATCTGCACCCTCGCTTGCTGTTGCTGGTCAGTGACCGGTAGCTCGGTGTTGCGATGAACAGAGCCCAGGTGAAGAGATGGCTCCAGAACAGAGAGAGACCCTTGGCCTGGTAAGCAAATTATCACATTCAGGGACTTTAATCCATTAGGTTGCCCCTATTCCACCCATTTCTGCTGCCACCCCTCGTCGATCTGCACAGTGGGAGGAGTGCGATCTTGGTACAAAGGAACGGATACGGATACTTCGTTTGTTGTATTGGAGGCCATCGCTTCATCAATTATAGTAATCATATGCAGCTGCTGTGGGAGCACAAGCACGCGGATACGGTGAGGAATTGCTGCAGCGAAACATGCAGGACAATGCACAATCAACTGCATAGCACGTTATGGTGTGCTTACGATTGGTAGAGCAGACGCAGCCAGCCGCTGCCCTTGCAGAACTGCGTGGAGGAGGCCAGCAACAGGGAGTAACAAGACCAATTGTTAACCAGCGACAACTGGTGCTTTTTTTGCTGCTCGTTCAACAGCAACTGCAAAGCCAACCACACACACAAGCAAGGGTCCCCATGTCTTGGCCCACACCCGACTCGTTAAGTTAGGCTTCGCACGCACGCCCCGACCCATTACCTACAACTAACCTTACCTAGGTAGCGGGTAGGCACCAACCTCGTATGCTTGTCCAGTGGAGGAGCTGCTGGAAGGCCGCCGTAAGTCAATGACTGGCAGGCCAAAAATTTAACCTCGAATCGTTGCTGTACCTTCTTGTAGGTACCTTAACCTAATGTCTCTCACCATCATGAGTCAAAAAGATACGGAGGCGACCGAATGGCAAAGAAAAATTCTGATCTCTACCATCTCAAAGGTTCCCCCCCCTTCTTGCCTCATTACGAAGCCTTACCTGTCGCCATGTTCAACTTGGCAAATAACAAATCCAGCCCTGTTCATTGTGTTGAACCAGTACTAGCTACTACATTCAGTAGCTACTGTAAATCCCACTGCCCGGGCTATTGGTTTTGCAGCCACTCTTCCTGTGATAATTATTGTTAACGCTTCTCTTAGCGTAGTTTTCTTTGGAATAGAGGCTTCAATTAAATGGCATGGGCGGGCGCCCCTAGGCGTTGTGGTAGGGCTACAAGAGAGCAAATGATAGGTTCATCCTGTGATTTCCTACTCTAGTCAGCAGTGAATCGTTTTCTACTATGCCATAAACGGGCATTTCTAGATTCCATAGAACATATCCTGATGCTTTATCACTAACCAACAGCCAAACACAACCACAAGCTTGCCGCCTCTAACCATCCTATGTACCATGTTATGGATTGTACGTATACCTCTCCATCGGAATATCATCGCTCCACTACGTGCACTCTAACTAGAGGCTGGGCTTTATCGACCCTAGTCTAGCCACCAATCCGGCCATCGGGTGTCCCCCTCCAGAGGTCTAGATACATATCCACTGACAGGACGGGAACGGGTAGCCTCCAGTGATCCCTCCCTCCATTCATTCTGTTTAAGTTACTATTAACTTAGTTATCTATCTCAGCGCTCGGGAGCGCCCAGAGACATTGACCACCTGGAAAGCCGTGGGGCGGGTGATTGAGATGATGCTGTGGTGTTAGTGTTGGTGTCAGTATTCTATGTGTGCTTCATGAGCAGGAGTGATACTCAGTTGTCAATTGAGACAAGACCAACCCAGCCATGAGAAACTCGTTCCGTCTGTTCCTTTCATCATCATCTCCATGTCTCTGTTTGTCGCCGTGTATCGGATAACTTGCCTCTCCCCGTCTACAAGTAAAAAAAGAGAGTGAGAGAAAGAAGAGCAAGCGCAAACACCTAGCAAGCGCGAGAAAATGGCTGAAAGTGTTGAGTACTTTGCTGGGGGTCAAATTGCCACTGATTCGATGCCAGATGCAAGCAATCAAAGAGTATCCAGTACCCTCAACTGCCCCATCCATTCCTAGGTAGGTCCCAATCCATCGACACCCCCCTTCCGGCCCCCTTACCCTTCCCTTTCCTAGTCCCTTGCTCCCCTTCCAGGATCCAATGCTTTCCTACCCTGGCCTTTTGACCTTTTCCCCTTTCAGGCCTTGTTCCCCTTCTCTCTCCTGGTCACTTTCGGTCCACCCTCGACTCTTCTGCTTTGACCTTTTTTTCGAACCCATTTGGCCCATTCGAATCGTCTCTCTCCCTCTCTCCACACATTCAAAGCTAGAATCTGCTCGCCCCAGCGGCAAACCATTCAGTGCAGTTCAATTCAGTTCAGTTCATTTCGTCCTATTCCCCATCTCCCTTTGTTCCTTGCATCATCTCGTGTCGCTCGCAAACAGCGCCTTTCACCTCGATCATCTCATCTCGTCCTGTCCTTGGTTGTTCGCCCTTCGACAAATCTAATTCTCGCGACGTCCAGATCTCCATTCACGACGACAAGTCCCGGTCAAGAGATATCATTATCGGGGAGCGCATCTTGAATTCTAATCACAATGGCTGCGAACACAAAGGTAAGGCGCGAAACCACACTGCTCGGGAGCAACAGCACCTGTCATGCAATTTCTCGACATAACGCTGCATCATCTCGCCACACATGGTCGATCGTGTTGCTGACCTTTCATTAGTTCCTGCGGGAGTACAAGCTCGTTGTTGTAGGCGGCGGTGGTGTCGGCAAATCCTGCTTGACTATTCAGTTGATCCAGAGCCATTTCGTCGACGAGTATGACCCCACGATTGAAGGTTGGTGACTCTCGATTCATTTCCGTGACCATCACGTCGCGTCAGGAGCAGTATTAACCCACCGTCAAATACAGATTCGTACCGAAAGCAGTGTGTCATTGATGAAGAGGTCGCACTGCTCGATGTCCTCGACACTGCCGGCCAAGAGGAGTATAGCGCCATGCGCGAGCAGTACATGCGAACTGGAGAGGGATTTCTGCTAGTCTATTCGATTACTTCGCGACAAAGCTTCGAGGAAATCACCACCTTCCAGCAACAGATTCTGCGAGTCAAGGATAAGGACTATTTCCCCATGGTCGTTGTTGGCAACAAGTGCGATCTGGAAGGCGACCGAGACGTGTCACGACAGGGTACGTTCTGTTACGAGCTAAGCTTTAGCATGAATCACTGACAATGGAAACAGAGGGAGAGGCACTTGCAAGGTCGTTCGGTTGCAAGTTCATCGAAACATCCGCCAAGTCCCGAATCAACGTCGACAAGGCCTTCTACGATATCGTACGAGAGATCCGAAGATATAACCGTGAGATGCAAGGCTACTCAACTGGCAGCGGTGGTACTTCGGGCGCGAACGGTCCACCGAAGCCCATGGATATGGACAACGGCGAGCAAGAAGCTGGATGTTGTGCCAAGTGTGTACTGATGTAAAGGGAATAATATCTAAGGGCGAAAGGGAGATCATCTCGAGACGAGGCGGGATGCGATCGGCGGGAGTTCCCCGATATGTCCGGTTTCTGTCAACTGCACGCGACACGATGTGAGGATGCAATATAACCAACAGGCTTTAGGAAGAGCACGGAGATGAAAAAGTTGATTGCATCGGACGGGAGTCAGGATCTGGGTTCATATTCACATTTGATTTGGACGCAGCCAACGGAAATACCCAGCGACATGGGATTTAGGGGCCCGGCGTGCTTGTGGCAGAGAAAGTGTCTTTGTGAGCAATGTCGATGGTTCATGCTTAATGACCCACGATCCATACGACATGGAACATGGATCGGCGTTTCTCTGGAGTGGCTCGCTATCTTGGACGTTGTGGATAAACAAAGAAAAGGATCGTCTTGATACTGGAAGAGAGAAAGACAGGGGAGGGAGTCTGCTGCTGACATTGCGAATACCAGATGCAACTAAATGCAATGCTACTCATCCCTTCCACAGGACCTCGCGAGAGATAAAATTCACCCGACCATTTCCTTTTTTTGCTTTGTGTTGCCGGGGAGGACGAATTTTTCAAAGTACGGCTTCAGATTCTCTATATCCTTATTTCATACATGTAATTTTTTGCTTCTATTTTTCTATTTGTCAATCTCGAGGTCTCCTTCTCTCCAGCAGCAATGGTTCAGTCAGTCAGACAATACAAGTACACATCCCTTTTTTCTTGCGGTTCAAACACCTTCTTCGTCTTTTGTCTCTTGATGCAGCACATTCCGTTCAACTGTGTTGTCAGCCACATGGCTTTTCTCATGAAACGATCCGGAATGCTTCATATCCGAGATTCATCGGTGCGTCCCTTTTAAGTTTCTCGTGCATGATAGGATGGTCAGGTTCCTGGTTCACTACATATGTTAGGTCAGTCTCAGCCTATCTGCGTCGGCATCTTGTTACGTATGAAAACTGATAAGTCAATTGCAAACCTAGGTTCTATGTCTCAGAAACGCCAAACTCCGGAATCCTTCCCACCCTAAATTCATACGAACCAGTGTTTTCAGCCATCCATTATTCCACTTCCCCCAGAACCCTGCCGGTGGTTATCTCTCGACGCGGATCGAGAAGTTTGCGCCCGATATTTAGATTCCGCAGTGGCTCGTCAATCACCTCTGGCTGGTTGTTCACGTCGTTCTGTCCATTCACAACCCAGTCACCGCAAACAACACAAGCCCATGCCGTCGGCGCGCCCTTTACAAGACCATCGACGTTGGCCGAAACATTGACCTGCTCACTAGGCTTTTGCGCAAGACTACTGGGACACACTGCCTTCTTGAAGCGCGACAGCCGCCATTCTTGCATCAATGCCGCGTGTTTCAAAACCTCTTCGGCATAGTACAATCTATGGGACCGGCATAGCGATGGTCCTAGCATTCTGTTGGCACACTCAGGCTCTTTAAACTTTGACACATGCCATTCGCTCATGTCAATACCCTCGAGATGATTAAAGACCTTCCAGCGGAAGCTCTTTGGCATCTTCTTTGACTGAGGTTTCTGTTCCGGACCGAATGTGAAACCGAGAAAAGGATTGAAGACATCTTGGTTGTCTGCGTTTTTGGGCGCCCGGTTCGCGCGAGCCGTTCTCTTGAGTGATGACCTTTTGCTGCCTCTAGATGTTTGAGGCTTATGCCAGCGCTTTTCTTGATTCGCTCGGGAACGCCTATGTGCCGACTTATCATTGAAAGTCGTATACATGTCCCATAAGTCTTCGGACGAAGCATCCTGGGATTCGTTGCTTCCTTCTGGAGATTGGTCTAGAGCCTGCGAATCACTGTGTGGCTCTTGTTGGTCATTTTCAATACCCTGAGCCAGGATGACACTGTTAGCAAAGGACTGACGTTCATCACTTCCGTCGTTTGCGTCTGCTTGCGTCGCTCTCTGCAATAATTCCAGGTTTTGATAGTCCCACGATTGACTGTCTTGTTCGGGAACTGTTGGATCTTGAGGTTCCAACATCTGCTGTGAAGTGTTTCCCCAATCTTGCTGATATTGCGCAATTTGGTCTTGTGGTATATGTCGTTCATCCTGCCTCTCGGAGCTACCATATATTTGCTGATCGGCTTGACCTAGGAATGGCTGCAATGACTGCATTGGCTGCATTGACTGCATTGGCTGCATTGACTGCATTGGCTGTGTAAGGGCATATGATTGCCCAATTTGCTCATCATCATAGCCTCCGTATTGTTGCCCGAGTGCTGCTTGATGTTCATCAGACCCATTTAGAAGCTCGGTAAAGTCACCGTTTCCATATTCCATTGGCAGTTGGGTTGTCAGCGGTTGTGAGGACCCCTGCGATTGTGTGCCATTCGGATTTCCATGAGCACTTGGAAGCATGGTCTTTTGGATTTCCCGAATGTCCTCGAGCACAGGACCTCCCTGGAAGCTGCGCGCGGTAGCTACACGTTTTGAGGCGTTGGGGCTCATGTTGAGCATCGACATCCTAACATCCTGATCTTTACGCAGAAGCGCCCAAACTTTCTTGTACCCTTCGAGATTGGCCCTTGGAACTTGACAATCATCTGGCCAATGCCCAGCGATGAGATTGCGCAGCCCTTCGGCAGTCATATTCGAAAGTGACACGTTGTGTGGTATACCAGGGGGGGCAACGCCCGCTGGCGGGCGATGATTTCTGTGAACTCTGGCTACGTCTTGATAACGTCGTGGACCATCCTTGGGGTCGATCAGGCCGTACACAGGAGCTGCAGGACCAATCCAGTGTTCAAGTCTTCGACCATCCTTGAAATCGTTGACACCTCCAGAGCCGTATCCCAAGGCCAGGTAGTACAAAGGACCTGGGCTATAGGATGATTTGTTTGACCTGTTGGTTAACTTGGCGCGGCTAATACATCCAGGTTTTGCCCAATTCATAGCATCGCACTTGTCGCCGCTATGTCTGCAACTATCACATGGTCTCTGTCTGTCACAGTTTCTCCCAGCCTCTGCACATGGCTTGCAGACATGGAAAGGGGTGAATTGTCCGAAACCAACCCTGCTCAAATCGAAGATTGGATACACTCGAAGCTCGCCATCCTCTGGGACCATACAGTCGATACCAAACTGCGTACAGCGCTCGCACGCGTGGTTTGGCTGGAACCACATGACTAGACAGTCAGTAGCTTTCCCAGCTGTCTGGCACCCTTGACACGGCTTCCTCCAGATTGTCTTGGGCAACACTTCCGCATATTCATGCCATTTCTCCTTTTTGCTTTTGTCCCCCTTTGTTTTCTCCTTGTTCGCCTCGAACTGGGGGCGTATCTCCCAGCTTACGGGAATGTTCTTATCAAGTTGAGAAAAAGAGTCCATTGGAGTTCCAAGGTCCAAACACTTTGCCCCGGCCCGTTTGCATTGTCTGCAGGCTCGGTTCTGTTCCCACTCTCCCCTGTCTGTAATCCAGCTACAGCAATTGCCTCCCTTCAGATAACCGAACTGCTTGTGACGCAAGAAGCATCGATCGCATGGATGTCGGTACCACGGTCGACGTGTGAGCTTGTTTGGCCGTCTCAAGGGCATTACAGACCCGCCAACCCTACAAGCCCCTTCTTTTCGACAGTTCAGGCAATGGTAGCCTAGTATACTGTCAACGTCACAAGTTTCCCCATGCTCCTTCCTTCTACAGTAGTCACAATGCTTATCCTCATACACTTGAGGATCACCAACGCCGTACCTCTTTTGATCAAAGTGGATTAAGGGCGTTACAGGGCCCGGAACCTGGCACTTATGGCCGCCTCTTTCGGCCAGCTCTGTGTTATCCTTGTTTTGAGAGCGGTAATCGGCACAATTAGTGCATTCTAAATTGTATATCTCGGGGCCGTTGCTGTTTGGAACCTGTTCCCAGTCACACGGGTTGGCGGCGTGGATCTGAGGGTGTTGACTACAAAAGTCGCAAATTGTCCCCTCAACGACCCGTTCGTTATCTTCTTTCCTGCGAGAATTGCCAATCTTCTTGGAGGCAGCTGGTTCCCCCCTGGACTTCTTTTGCGGCCTGAGATCCGAAAGATAATCATCTTCACTGTCGTGTTCCTCTTCATCAATATCCGCTTTCCGTTTCCTGGTTGTCTGGGGCTGTACTGATGGAGTTGGCGCTGTGTTTGGATTGGAACCAGGGATTCCAGAACTATTGGCGTTGTCTCCCTCGTCCCTAGATGCGTTTGGCGGAAGATTTCTCATCCTTTTCGGAGCGGGCGCCGTAGCATTCGGAGAAGCTGCCCGAACTCTCTTTTTGCTACCCCCAGTGGATGGGCCAGAAAAAGATGGCTGGAAATTTCGAAGAGTAGGAGGAGCCAGAGGAGTAGGAGGAGCCAGAGGAGTAGGAGGAGCGTTGACCACATTAGGATTACCTGCAATGAGATGAGGCTCATGTTGTTGAATTTGAAAAGGCACAGGTCCCACACCCAAATCAACACCGTTCCCAGTATTGTTCGGGTCAAGGCCGGCTGCACCAGGATTTCCAGATGAAAACAGATTTGAAGCGTCAAGGGAAGAATCGTTGTTGAATGAACCCATTGCCAGGGCTCCCTGCTCCCGCTCCAAACCCGAAAGCCGACGCAGAACCCGACGCCAACCCTCAGCCTGCGCCTGAGGAGTAGAATAGATCTGTTCGAATATCCGTTTGAGAATCCCATGGGACTCCTTAGGTATATCTGGCGTCGGGGTCAAGTCCCCCTGCTGTGTCGGGGGGATCGGAGGTTGTTGGCTCCAAGGGATCGGGTCAGCGTTCTGTTCGAAATAAGGCTGATCAGGCTCGATGGAACCTGCATTGGCCCAATTCGAACCCCACTGAGTTCCCTGAATATAATTATATTGATCCTGATATTGGTCAGGATTTTGATCCTGATTTCCGGTCTGATTATGGGTCTCATCTCCAGGAGACATGTTGTTGGTAGTGTATCCCGACATGATGCTATAGTCTCGAGAGATAAATCACGACTGTTGAACTCTCAGTGAATAATACGGCACCTACTTTGAATGCAAGGACTTTGTGTGTAAGTATTTGATGGCAGGTAAGTTAGAACCGAAGTGTGCTCCCTCCCTGAGCCAGTGTGTCAGAGACGGACTATATAACAACATAAACAATAGAAACAATAAGAGTCCTGTTCATGAGTTTTGATATGGAGTGTAAGGAATGACCAAAGATTGCCCAAGACTTAAGCTGATGTTCTTGTTCTTATCAACTCAATGTTCCCTTGCCCTCACCCTGGATCCTTTGTTCAACACATGTCAACCAACGCAAAGCGTCTTTGTTCAATAATATCCCTCTGCTACCCACTGCACACCCTATGGTTCTTTGATACTCAATTTAGACCTCTCAGTTCCATTATTCGTCTAGTGTCGTCGAGTGTTCATTCATTCTTGACTGATGCACAAAGAACTTAGAAGAATCGGGCGAAGTCCGGAGATGAGACATCCATGAGAGTAACTATAATGCCATTTGTGACCAATCGCACTTGTCCGTGAGCATCGTCTTGTCTTGATGTGTTTGCTGGAACTTGACCATTGTGATGTGCGAGTGCGTCAGATGGACCCCCTGGGACGCATCTGATTCTTTATTGACATCTCTATTCACCGATCGAACGGGCCAGTGCCTTTTCAATACAGCCTCTTTAACACCAGGGCCAGTAAAACAGTGCAGCTGCCCCCCCC